TGATATCTTATTTGTTAGAAAATATGACTAGAAGAATTCAAGTTACTGTAAACGTCTACGTTTATAAAGAATTTATACTCGAATTACACATTGCGATCCACTCTTCTTGGATCACGTAAATATGAATATAAAAGTGGATATACGGGTTGTGTTGAAATGTTACCCCCACAGAACCAATTATAAAAATTAATAAAAAAATATTCTGATGTCTCTTCACTGATATACTGGTTTGGTCCAGCTGAGAAGTTTCTGACATTTCTACGTACAAGTAAGTTACATTTGAAAGGTAACTCTTGTTAATAATCAAAAAGGGAGAATTGAAATTTATGGAACACATAATGAAGAAAGTCGGTCCGGAGAATCTAACACTTGCAGAACGCTCAGAATAATCAAGAGTAAACTGTCTGTGTAAATGGATAGCAAAAAAAAACAAAAAAAAACGCAATAAATAAGGAAAATAAAGGGTAAGAAATTATATATATAATTATAATTATTATTATAGTATAGAACAAACCAGACAGTAAGTTGTCGAGAGCAATAAACGCTCACGTCCTAAAGAAACATGATACTCCGAAGACAGTAACTGGTATTTTCATATTTTGGAATTGGAATATAATCCTCTGAACTTTTTACCAAACCTTTGTGTCTGCTGCGTGATACTTTCAACTTCTATTGGGTTGATTGGATGAATGGATAGATTGTTGATTTGTCTTATAGAATATCAAAATCCCTGTGGGTCATTTAACGCAGAAATTGAATTTTTATTCAGGAATATTTCAGGACATTTCAAGTCGTTTTGCGGTATTAAAATTGTTTTCAAAATAGTACAAGTTAAATAGTTCAGGACATTTTTAAAACATAAGTTGTATGGTTCAACATGCTTGCTTTATTTTCTATAGAATGTGGAAGTCTTATTTTCTTCAGCCATTCTATTATTTGGCATTAGGTAAATTTTGAAGAGCTTGTTAATATTTTGAGCTTGGTGATAGTGACTACGTATTTTTGTACTTCTTACATTCTATCAAGATATGTTTGTCCTTGAGGAATTGGTTGCAGTGTGTACACTGACGTGTAGTTACTGCCTGGTGTATGTATGTGTGTTTCAAGTGTATGTGTCTAATTCTTATTCTGTTGAGCACTATGTTTTCTCTGCGATCAGCTAATGACCTTATATTCTCCTTTCTTGTTGTCGGCTGATGTTCATACAGTTTATTATTTGGGAACGTGTCTCAAATTTCTTGCCATTTTCTCTTGATATGTTGTGTAATTTTATTTTTATAATTTGTATATGAGAGTTTAATGTTGGTTTTTTCCATCTTCGTTGCGTCTTTTGCCCGAGTGTCGGCTTCCTGATTTCCTTTAATACCCATATATCTAGGAATCCAAGCCAATATTATTGCTTTATGCATTAATAAAATGACGCCATGCTTCTAGGATTTCTTGTTCTAGGATTTACTGTTCTTTTCTTTAATTTTTGTTAAACTAGATAGAGAGTCTGGGAAGATTATAAATTTCCTATCTTTTGACTCTTCTATCATTTAGGTTATTTGGAATTAAAGTTGTTATTTGATATTTGTAGACGTCGATTTAACAAAATATTGAATCATAATCAACGAACGGACCCTGAAGTTTAACTTCTCCCGATGAGCGTGCATTCCACCAGGAAGTCCCCGACACCTTGAGCCTCTTTTGAGTCTTACGCTCAACTGAGACCTCAAATAGTTCACGAAAATACGTTCCATGTCCAAAGATACTGGGAAAATATTCCGTTCCGTCTGCCGCTCCAGTAAGTACCTGACTCCTCGTGATATCTTCCACCTTTATAAAACAGGCAGATCAGGCCGTAAATGGAGTACTGCTGCTATACATGGGCAGGTGCTTCTCCGTCTTCACTTTCCAGTCTCGATAGAGTCTAAAATCGTCTCCGTGTTCTTGTGGATAATTAATTATTTTCCACCTTAGAAAACCTGCCCGTTAGTGATTTTCCAAGCGTAGCTTAGATGTGGCACAAGGCCGAAAGCATGGGGCACCCAGTGAGAATCGAACTCACTATTCAGTCGTAATTGTTCTAGCGCGACAAGTTTGCTAACGAATACACCACCTCGAGGTGCCCCCAAAAAAAAAAAACCTCTTTCCGATAGAGGAAATATCGCAAGCCACTTGCTGCTCTATCGCTTTTTCCATGGAAAGGGTTCAGACGAAATACAATTCTTAGTTCTACATGTTCTAACCTTCACGGCTAAGACTCGCCAAGCTACGCCCTTTGTCCCACGCACACTGTCCCACGCCTATTGTACCCTGATTTCCTTCATATCCCATTAGTGAGATATAACTTCCATTCAAGTAGCTTCTTACTATGACTTATGGAACCAACTCTAAGAGGATACTTCCCCGATCACTACAATCTTAACCAGCTCAATTATGGAGTTAACCGTTATCTTTTCCTCATATCTTCATAAACTGTACCCTTTACTTCTTACTCTGTAACCCACTACATCGAGTGGCAACCCTCTATATTGAGTGACTCTTGTGGCTTATACTGTATGAGAATCGTATTTAAAATAATTTTCTTTTCGCTCTTGTAGGTTTTGTTTAAGGTTTTATTTTTAACCTATTATATTCTTTTATTCATTCTTTGGTTTTCCGATCACCACGCGATTTTCTAGTTACATGGGTTCTTAGTTAATTAGATCCACCATTAATATTTAAGCCAAGTAAAGGTCAAGAGAAAGCATCGCTGTTTTAAGGCAAACGTAAATAAACGTCTGAATTTCAGAGACTAATGAAAAAGGATATAGACTGCGACAGCCGAAACATAGATCGACAAAACTGATGTAAAATATCTCATATTATTCCATAAACTAATAGGAGTTCTCCAGCTCAAAAATTCAGACAACACCAGAAAGGCCAGAGAATAAACACTCGCGATGCATCATTATGAAGATACGAGATCAAATATTCCCCGGAAACCTGCTATTTCTTTACAGAATTTCAGACAATGCCAAAACAGATAGAGTGTACATCAATTGTGACTTCCTCAGATATTCATAAAAGATGAGAAAACACTTGTAATAATTCATGAAACAGTGATATTTTGCAAGAAATTCATTGTGGAGCAATGGTTGGCAAAACCGAACGCCGCTTTCAAAGAAGCTAGACATGGAGAAAGAAATCTGATGAATGATAAATGTACCTGTTTCAGCAGACCGCTGTCTTAAACGATACAAGAGAAAAATATTAAGGCCTCACCTGTGAACGTAAAGGATTGTAATATATAAAGTTTCGGGTCGTACACATATTCTTGAGTAGGTAAGAACACTGAGGAAGGTAATTAATGATTAAGGAGATTGCAGTCACTATTATCTCTAACCACCACCAGAAATATTGATTGAACATGATGATGAATGGGATTGTGTTAAGGTTTGGAATGGAAATTATTAAAACCAATTTAAAAAAAATATAAAGTGACATGATTTGCCGGTGATCTGGCTCAGCAAGAAAAGTATATTATTTCACAAGAACAAAACCTATATCAAGGAGAAAAAATGTGATTCACGTTGATTTTTTTTTCTTATTATAGACATTAAATTTTAACTAATTTCAACTGAGATTTTATGAACTGATTGACGTGTATTTACGGTTTATTGACCTTTTACAGGTTATTTAAAGCCAGAAACTATTTCCATATTGTAAGAATATGTTGGGAGATAACAATGATATAGTGATACAAGTCTTAATAATTAACACATAGCTGGGGTGAGAAGTGGTGGATTTATACCTTTACCAAGGATATATACACGTAAGCAAATATAATGAGCTCAAGTGGAATTGGAACTCGGTTCTTCGATTAACAACTGAAATTTGTTTACCATTAGACCACTCGGAGATCCAAGCTTTACAGCACCTGGTATTCCCAAGCAGTCACCCATCTAGGTACTGACCAGGCTTGATGTTGCTTAACTTCGGTGATCATACGGGAACTAGTGTTCCAACGTGATAGCGTTCTACGCCAGATTTTATGGATTGAATATTTCACACTCAACGGGAAGCGGATAAATGAAAACCATCTTGAAGATTGCTTTTCTAAAATCAGCGATAATTCACGCTACAGAAATGCTGATCGATAGAATATTTTTAAAATACTGTTTAATCTATAAAAAAAGCCATAAGATACTGAATGATACTGAAGGGGATGGCTGTGTGAGAGGTCGTGTATGCAACGAACTAGTCTGAAGAAAAATAGAAACAGTTTATATTTCTTTGAAGAAGGAAGGCTTGAAGAATTTGGCACCCACAGGATACTGATTTTATAAGCGTAACTTGGATGTGGCGCAAGGCCGAAAACATTCCAGTTGTAATTGTTTCAGCGAGACAAGCTTGCTATTACACCACGCCTAGGTGACCAGTAGTGATTTTCTAAACGCGGCTTAGATGTGGCACAATCCTAAAGTATGGGGCGTCCAGTGAGGCTCGAATTCACTACACAATCGTAATTAATCTAGCAAGACAAGCTTCCTAACCATTACAACACGCCTAGGTGCCATGATACCCACAGGATATACCTGAAGCAAAAGTGACAAGGGAAGGTAGTTGGCCACCTACCTGACGAACTTTTGTGAAAGGATGTCGGAGAGGGCTATGGAGGGCATGGCAAAGGAACAAGCTTTGCAGAGAGCTACAAGAAATATGAGATTGTGAAAGGCTATGATAAGCCACGTCGAGAGGGAAACGCGCATAGGAAAAGGAGGAGAAAACGGAGTTGAGAGAAGGCTTAATGTCACTTGATCTCCAGAAAAATCGACCAGTTACTATTGTGAAAATTCAACAAGTAGAAATTATTAGCAGCTATGTTCACTAGTGGTTAGATTTTCCAATATTTTCAAGTAAATTATTTTCTAGTTCAGTGACTCTTGTGTGTCGAGAAACTAATTCCAAATTTATTAAACGCTCGTCTACTCGGTACAAAAGGGATGGGTTTGGAGAAGGTATTTCGTATTGACTCAACACTTGGTGGAATCAGTCTTGCACAAATGAGAAGGAAGGAAAGAAAGAAAGAAAGAAAGAAAGAAAGAAAGAAAGAAAGAAAGAAGGAATAGCATATATAGTTGGCTAGATGAAAACAGACAAAGAAAGTGACGATATAAAGTAAATATGGAAAGTAAAAAAGGAAGGAAGAAAGACATATTGGAGAAAGAAAGAAAGAAAGAAAGAACGAAAGAAAGAAAGAAAGAAAGAAAAAGAAGAAGGAAAGAAGTAAGGAAAGAAAGAAAAAAGACGGAAAGAAAGAAAAAAGAGAACTATTGGTTGTATAGTTGGCGAGAGGAAAATAGTTAAAGAAAGTGGCGATATAAAGTAAATAATGAAAATAGAAAGGATGAAAGAAAGACATATTGTAGAAAGAAAGAAAGAAAGAGAAAGAAAGAAAAAAGAAAGAAAGAAATAAAGAACGAAAAACAAAAAAGAAGTCGAGCAGTCGTGCGAAAATTTCCACAAAAAGAGCGAATGAAGTCGAAGGTTGAGGACCACACGTTTGCTTGATACAAAAGAGGTTAGTGTTTGGTGAATGTATTTAGTATCGACTCAATGCTTGGCGAAACCAATGATGCAGAAATTTTAAATAAAGAAATAAAGAAGAAAAAACTGAATAGAGTAATTGTTGAAAAGACAAAAAAAAGAAAGAAAGAAAGAAAGAAATATTGGGTGTAGAAAAAAATAAATGTCGATAAATAAGAAAAAGTATAAAGAAAATAAAAGTAAGAAAAAGAATAAAGAAATAAAAGTGTAGGAAATAAGAAAAGTATAATTTTATGGAAATCTGAAGGGAATACATAGGACGGAAAGAAGGAAATTGAAAATGTATCAAGAGGAAAGAAAGATAGAGAGATAGAAAGAAAGAAAGAAATAAAGAGGTAGAAAAATAGAAATATAGAAAGAAAGAAAGAAAGAAAGAAAGAGATAGATAAATAGAAATATAGAAAGAAAGAAAGAAAGAGAGAGATAGAAAAATAGAAATATAGAAAGAAAGAAAGAGAGAGAGATAGAAAGATAGAAAGATAGAAAAATAGAAATATAGAAAGAAAGAAAGAAAGAAAGATAAAAGAAAGAAAGAGAGAGAGATAGAAAGATAGAAAGAAAGAAAGAAAGAGAGAGAAATAGAAAGAAAGAAAGACAGAAAGAAGAAAGAAAAAAAAGATAGAAAGAAAATAGAAAAATAGAAAGAAAAAAAAGAAAGCATGAAATTTAAAAAAACTTTAAAAAGTGAAAAGAGCAAACAAAAAGAAAAATTAGAAAAAAAGAAAGAAAGAAAGAAGAGAAAATGCAAAAGAACAAAAGAAAAGAAAGAAAAAAGTTATTCATTTAACTATCATAAACTATAATGAGAAAAGAAAGAAAGAAAGAAAGAAAGAAAGAAAGGAAAAAAGAGATAGAAAGAAAGATAGAAATATAGAAAGAAAGAAAGAAAGCATGAAAAACCAAATTAAAAAGTAAAAAGTAAAGGCAAACAAAAAGAAAAATTATAAGGAAAATGTCAAAAAAGAAAGAATAACAGAAAGAAGAGGAGAAAGAGAGAAAAATGCAAAGAAACAAAAGAAAGAAAAAAGGGAGAAAAATAGTTATTCATTTAACTATCATAAACTATAATGAGAAAAGAAAGAAAGAAAGAAAGAAAGAAAGAACGATGCAGCGGTTAGTGTTCTCGGCAGTCAGATGTAATTCATGCAAATACTTCAGTAGACAAAAGAAGAAGTAGTTGGAGTAAAAGCGGTGGTGATAGACTCAAATTACAAAGCCACATTGTCTTATCTCTCATCAACTTCAGCCTCCTCCCAAATACCCCATCATTTGCACCAAATCATCCGAATATCCGCTTCTGGACGCCATAACATCCACTTCCTCTCTAGCACGATGAACTGCACTCCATTCTTACTATAAATAAAGATGGCAAGAAATTGGCCAATAGAATGGGAGGTTTGCGTAGATACACGTCAAAGACGCTCTTCATAACACAATGGTCAGGGAGTTCGTTTCAAAACCCACATTGCTCGTGTCATAATGTATTCAACTACCCTGATCTTGTACCAGTCTACTAGTCTTCCCGCTTGTCAAGGTATATTTTGGCGCTATTCCGCTGATCGACATTGTGATCGGCGTTCGTGTAATTTTGTATGTCATTCTATATTACACAAAGCAGGTTACAAATACAAGAATTATGGGGAATGTTATTTACACTATTTACATTCGGACACTCTTGGAGAGGAAAGGGTTCCACCAGATTTAAACGCGCAAGAGAGGCTACACGATAAGCACACCAAGAAACCATTGCCAGGCTCTGGCAAGAGATGGAGAAGAATGGTGGATACCTTACCACGTCGGCGCCCCTAAACATGCGAGATATTTCCTCATTACAACGTTTCGAAATTTGTGACCTCGTCTTCATCATATGATCTTCAATCCGGGTAACTGAAGTCTTTATTTTATTTTAGTTTTCATGTCTCGTGATATCTCGTCTAGTTCTTAGTTATATCTACTCAGATGTTGCTCAAATTGTTCTCGTTCCACTCTCCATGTCTCGTGATATCTCGTCTAGTTCTTAATTATATGTCTCAGATGTTGCTCAAATATCTCGTTGTCTCCATGTTCGTGATATCTCGTCTAGTTCTTAATTATATCTACTCAGATGTTGCTCAAATTGTTCTCGTTCCACTCTCCATGTCTCGTGATATCTCGTCTAGTTCTTAGTTATATCTACTCAGATGTTGCTCAAATTGTTCTCGTTCCACTCTCCATGTCTCGTGAATCTCGTCTTGGGTTCTTGTTATATCTTCAGATGTTGCTCAAATTGTTCTCGTTCCACTCTCCATGTCTCGTGATATCTCGTCTAGTTCTTAGTTATATCTACTCAGATGTTGCTCAAATTGTTCTCGTTCCACTCTCCATGTCTCGTGATATCTCGTCTAGTTCTTAGTTATATCTACTCAGATGTTGCTCAAATTGTTCTCGTTCCACTCTCCATGTTTCGTGATATCTCGTCTAGTTCTTAGTTACTGCTGCTCAGATGTTGCTCAAATTGTTCTCGTTCCACTCTCCATGTCTTGGGATATCTTGTCTTGTTCTTGTTTAAACCTGTTCAGATATTGCTAGCCCAGTATCCAAAGAATTCTTGTACATACTGCCGGGTCAGGGAATTGGACTCACAAAGTAATTGTAAGTTGAATCAAATTCACGAAATTTATGGAATGTATCCAAACACTTTCTACATCACTTGAACTGATTGTGTGCCATTGATCTAACATGGCCAGCAAACAGGGACCATTCTGCACATGTCTGCTGCAAGTTTGGCACAGGGTCGAGACTTATTCGGCTTTGATGTGTGTCACATTCATAATGACGACGCCACCAGAGTCATTGCATTACTATTGTCTGTGCTTCAGATAATATATATAATGTAATATCAGATACCTCTTGAGAATACCAGATGCTGTAATTGTGGATGTACGGTTGGTGCAATGGTTAATAGCTCGGAATTGTTAATCGGAGAGCCGAGTTCCAATTCCAGTTGGGTTAGTTATATTCACAAGGACACAAATACCCTTGGGAAAATGTATGAATCCACCTCTTCTCGCCCCAGCTATGGGTTAATTAATTTAGCACAAATATTATCTAAAACATTCTTACAATCTAAAAATATTTTCTGGCTTTAGATAACCTGCAAAAGGTTGATAAGCCGTACAAAAAAATATAATATCAATACAATATATATGACAAAATATCAGTATAATATATATATATATATATATATATATATATATATATATATATATATATATATATATATAATGAAGGAAATTGTTTTTTTTGTTCATTTTTCTCAATTTCGTTCTTGCGGCTATATCACGTTGAAACTACGCTTCTCATACGATCACCGAATTTAAGCAACGTCGAGCCTGGTCTGTACCTCGATGAGTGACCTCTTGGAAATACCAGGTGCTGTAATTTTGGATGTATGGTTGGTGCAATGGTTAATAGCTCGGAATTATTAATGGGAGAGCCGAGTTCCAATTCCAGTTGGTTTCATTATATTCACTTAGATACAAATACCCTTGGGAAATGTAAAAATCCGCCTCTTCTTCCCCAACTATGGGTTAATTCGTAAGACTTGTATCTCTAAGGAATTATTATATCAAAAATGAAATAAAAAATTGTACTCAAAATATTTAGATATCGGCATTAAATATCCCATAGAATTCGATATGCCGCTAAACAAAAGCAACCAACCAATTTAGTCTGTCAACTCTGCTACAGTCCTTATTTGACTTCCTGCGTTTTCTGGCTATCGCCGTTCAAAATGAGATTTCAGCTCGTGAAAAAGATTAAAGAGAATGAGACGAGGCGTCTTTGAGAGATGTTGATGAGACTTAGCAGGTAGTTTTGAAAATGGGATGATATGCTGGGATAACTGTTTGAGATCCCAACGAATATATTTTGAAGAGGAGTAAATCGAAAATGCCCTCGTCATCTTGGTTATTATTAAAAAGGCCGAATCAATCCGGACTTCCATTTGATTTATCAAGCTGAGCAAACTGACACACAATATTCTTTGGTTTTGCTGGAGATGTCAAGGTGTATACCCGGCATTATTGTTAAATAAGGTGAGGTTGACAGGAAGGGAGAGGTGTTTAACACGGAAAAATGTAAGTATGCTGGAAAAGCTAAATAAAAATTTATTAACTCCTTTATTTCCATATTTAATGACAGATGTTTAAAAAGAAAGTTTGCTGCCCAAAATACACACACACAGATAGATATATATATATATATATATATATATATATATATATATATATATATATATATATATATATATCAAAAGAAAAAGAACAGTCAGATTTATAATCCAGACTTGTTATTTTTAATTTATTTATTAAAAAAGTTCACGATAAAACATAAAGCATAATATTATACTTATTTTCTACATGGTAACTTCTGTGTCACGATGAATACATACTTCTAAAAATAATTATAATATATGTAACATTGAGACACGCACACGTACAAACATACGTACACACAGAGACACACAAAATATTTGTAGACAGTCTCTGAAACCTCTTGATGTGTAGACCAAACAATACCGAAACAGTTTGTCTACGAAAGCCGGAGTTGTGGTACTGAATATAACATCTACCAACTAACTGACAAATTTTATTTGTATCAATCATATATATATATATATATATATATATATATATATATATATATATATATATATATATATTATATATACTTTAAAAATTAGGTTAATGAATAAATGTATTCTACTAACCTCTTAATTTTTAAAGTTAATATCTCCACGTGTTATTTTTACCTTAATTTTATTTTATTTTCACACGTGTATTGAGCTCTTTTTATAATACTGTTTCCTGGTCTGATTCAACTTTGACCATTAAGATTTTATGTATTAATTTTACACACACACACACACACACACATATATATATATATATATATATATATATATATATATATATATATATATATACAAAGTTACAGTCTTTGTCTCACAATATACCAATAGCATCGTTTTCACGCTCTCTGCTATTTCATCCTCTTCTCCACACCTGTTTTGCTCATGCTCTTCCAAATTCGATTCCTTTTAAACGTTCGAAGACCAATTCATTGATTTTTATCTCTTTTTTAATTAACCTTTACGTCCGTGCAACTCCGGCTTAATCAAAAGTCTTCATTACCCTAGGGATTCTTTGTTTTGTTTTGTTTTTTTCTTTTTGCTTTCATCAAGAGACACTTGATCTGATGCAAGCATCTAATCATTTTTATTTAACCATCTATTTCACGCTGAATAATGTATGAGTGATCGACGCCGAAATTTCAAGCTCTGAAAATACACGAAAAGAATACGTTGAAATGGCTTCAATTAAGCATAGCATACTTTTACATTGCATCTATATCGTTGTTGTTTAAGATCTTAAATTTTAATAATACATTATGTAGCTTCTTTTTTTATTACTAAGTTTCTCTCAATACAAGGCCGCAAAGATATTGAAAGTAGAGTGCTACATATTGAGTTGTGTGACATGAACTTAAGTGAGTGAAGTAGAAAATAAAGACTGAGAAATGACTAAATAACAATTGAACTTAGACTTGAAAAGGTTATGAAAGTATTGTACAGAGAAGTATCAACACAGGAGTAAATGGAATGAGTATCCACACAGGAGAAATTTCCAGAGTAATGGCTCCTGGAATGAGTATCCACACCGGAGTAATTTCCTGAGTAATGGCTCTTGGAAAGAGTATCCACACAGGAGTAATTTCCAGAGTAATGGCTCTTGGAATGAGTATCCACATAGGAGTAATTTCCAGAGTAATGGCTCTTGGAAAGAGTATCCACACCGGAGTAATTTCCAGAGTAATGGCTCTTGGAAAGAATATCCACACAGGAGTAATTTCCAGAGTAATGGCTCTTGGAATGAGTATCCACATAGGAGTAATTTCCAGAGTAATGGCTCTTGGAAAGAGTATCCACACAGGAGTAATTTCCAGAGTAATGACTCTTGGAAAGAGTATCCACACAGGAGTAATTTCCAGAGTAATGGCTCTTGGAATGAGTATCACACAGGAGTAATTTCAGAGTAATGGCTCTTGGAAAGAATATCCACAGGAGTAATTTCAGAGTAATGACTCTTGGAAAGAGTATCACACAGGGTAATTTCCAGAGTAATGGCTCTTGGAATGAGTATCCACACAGGAGTCATTTCCAGAGTAATGGCTCTTGGAATGAGTATCCACACAGGAGTAATTTCCAGAGTAATGGCTCTTGGAATGAGTATCCACACAGGAGTAATTTCCAGAGTAATGGCTCTTGGAATGAGTATCCAAATAGGAGTAATTTCAGAGTAATGGCTCTTGGAATCTAGAGTATGTCTCAAATGTGTATCCACATAGGAGTAATTTCAGAGTAAATGCTCTTGAAAGAGTATCCACAAAGGAGTAATTTCCAGAGTAATGGCTCTTGGAATGAGTATCCAAATAGGAGTAATTTCCAGAGTAAATGCTCTTGGAAAGAGTATCCACAAAGGAGTAATTTCTAGAGTAATGGCTCTTAGAATGAGTATCCACATAGGAGTAATTTCCAGAGTAATGGCTCTTGGAAAGAGTATCCACACAGGAGTAATTTCCAGAGTAATGGCTCTTGGAAAGAAGCTTTCAGAGTAGAATAGCATTTTACCAAATGAACTCATAAGTAATGAGGATTATTTAACCCTGTCGAGCGTGTGAGTAATGATGAGATCTTAGAGAGAATGCAAACAAGGAGGAGGCTTATACTCAACATCAGGAATAGGCGTCTGAAATCACTGAGTCACATAATATGGAAGGAGGGCCTGGAGTATCTGATACACATGGATCGAATAGAGGAAAAAAGAGTCATGGGGAAGCAACACAGTGGATTTAAGCAAGTGGATGACAACTTGGTCTTGGGGAGGAAGTAAAAGAAAAGAACTTGTTGAGAGCTGCAAGGGATAGAGGGATGTAGACAGCCATGATTGCCCGTGTCCTCAAAGGAAATGGCACATAAAAAAAGGAAGGATGTAGCAAGGTGAGCCTCGGTTGTAAAGATTTGAAATAGTGGTCCAAAAATAATCTAGAGGGTTACAATATGTGGAGATAGGTGGCCAGATATAAGTGGTGATGTGGTTGCAGAAATTGTCTGACAGCCAAGACTGCGTTCTCCTGAATTCGTTGGAAAAATTGCCAGGAAAGTAACGATAGATTAGTGGAAGTCTTGTGACATAACGTCTGTCGGAAGGGGAATTATCGTGGAAAGTACGACATTCTCAACAAGACCGCATAAACGCTATTGATGTCTGTCAATAGTGGAAAGTAAAGAGTGGGCAGATCCAGTCAATATATATCAATAATATTGCTTTCTTGACACTGACACTTGTAAATGTAAAGTACAATAGAAGGAATTAGGTTTGGAGATTTTAATGCTACTATTAGCCGTTTCTTTATAAGGAAACATTTGACATGCATTGATCGAACAGTTAGTATTACTCTTAGCTGAAATTTATAAAATCTTTCTCTCAAAACAATTTATCGGGAAAATAGACTTCTCAAGACGACTGTTATTGGCCCTGTCCTGGGTAAGACGATAAACTACATCCACGCCCTGGGTATGACGATAAATTACATCCGCGTCCTGGGTATGGCGATAAACTACATCCACGCTCTGGGTATGACGATAAACTACATCCGCGTCCTGGGTAAGACGATAAACTACATCCGCGTCCTGGGTATGACAATAAACTACATCCGCGTCCTGGGTATGACGATAAACTACATACAGATCCTTGGTATGACGATAAACTACATCCGCGTCCTGGGTATGACGATAAACTACATCCGCGTCTTTGGTATGGAGATATAACTACATCCACGATCTGGGTATGACGATAAACTACATCCAGATCCTGAGTATGACGATAAACTACATCCATGCCATGGGTATGACGATAAACTACATCCGCGTCCTGGGTATGACGATAAACTACATCCGCGTCCTGGGTATGACGATAAACTACATCCAGATCCTTGTTATGACGATAAACTACATCCGCGCCATGGGTATGACGATAAACTACATCCGCGTCCTGGGTATGAAGATAAACTACATCCCGTTACACACTGTTCGGTCCTGCATTGCTGTCTCAATGTCCAACCCTGAGTCCCGAGCTATGATGTCTGACAAACTCAGTTTTCGTGAGAAGACACTTCCAGAAGGATGCCATAGGAGTAAAGAGGTAACGATTTCCTGTCGGCAAACTGTAATCGTCTTTGTTTGAGGTTAAGAGAGATTGATCTCAGTTCGCTGTAAATTGTGTTAACTGTTATATAGGATCTCCAACTGACTTCTATTAAATGATTCAATATAATCATTCCATCTCATTTTAGGTCAAGCAGATGCAATGGGTTGATCT